ATTTCATCACAGCTTGAAAGAGCATCACAAAATTAGTAATATTCCAAAGTTTTGTTGCAAAATCTTGTAAAATGCGGATAATATAGCCTTGCGAAGTTCGCCGTTTTTCAGTCATTTTGTATTACAAACGGGAAATTGACATCCTATTCGGGTGTTGGGGCTGCAATTTCCCGTTTGTAATGCAAAATGACTGAAAATTGCAAACTTTACAAGGCTCTATTTCCCTCATTTTACAACATTTCGCAACGAAACGTTGGAATATTACTAATTTTGTGACGCTCTTTCAAGCTGTGATGAAATATTTGTCTAGACTTGCCTAGATCAAATTTTGGTTATAAGGGGAAAGGTCTATTCAGAGGTCAGTGTCTAGATTTTTTCACTAACACCAATCCCCACACAAGGAAGTTGTGGTTTCACCTACATGTATGCATTACATTTACATCAGTTTCCCTAGAGGTTTGTCGACTTAGGTTTAACATATATATACAGTGCTGCATAACCACTGTGTTGGTCATGTATAGGATGTATCGGTTTATGGATGTATGTTATCGGTTTTTTAGGCAAGAGGTCAAAAAAGAAATAAGAGTTGCAGAGAAGGAATATGTAAGAAGTGAGATAAATTCAAACTATGGAAACTCGAGGTCTCTATGGAAAACAATCAATGATTGTTTACCTCGTAAATCGCGATTACCTGCGCAAATCTGAAAATCCTCCTGAAAGAAAAAAAAAAAAATCCTCCAGGCGGCAAAAACTGTGTAAGAAACTATTTCAATCAATTATATCTGATACCGAGCACAAACTTCACCATCTTCTGCCACCCAAGAATATCTCAGCATATAATCTGAGAAGACAGCGACATTTTGACTGTCCGACCACACGAACAAATCGTTTTAGGAACACTTTTGTCGTTTCTATGTCAATGGAGTGTTTAAAAGGATATTGGTGGGGTTCTGATATGACTTCCACCACCATTGCCGCTGCCTCGCGTCAACCGTTTGCTTTTATGCATGTTTTTGGGTCTCTGTAGCTGTGCTTACAACTTTGGTTGATCTCTATTTTAGCGGTGGTGGTGGTGGGGGACATAT